GCGCACGCTCCGATTATTGCACTTGACGCTAGGAAATCCATAATATTTTGAAAAAAAAATATTCTTTAATAAAAATAATGCGAGATGAGAAACGATAATTGTAATTTGATTATTAGGTATATGGTGGAACATTTGGTAAGATTAATTACTCGCTTTTGCGTTCGGATATTTTACATCGATATTTTACAATTTCGATTATTAGAGGTATTTATTTAAACCGTATCGACTAAAATAGACGAATTGGTATATATATATATATCTGTTCGTTCTCTTTTATTCGTATTGTTCATTGTAGTTTCAAAAATCCCTCAAAAATCCTCAGCTACGTTTAGATTACTTCGCAACTTCCCCGCTGGCTTCGTCGGATGAATTTTAAGGGTTTCGAGATTGCACTTGTCGAATATTAATTTCATTAGCGATATACATATATGTTTTCATAATAACTCGGAGGGATTCACCGAAAGAAAACCATATGCGTAAATGGTTCAAGTAGGTGGCATATATTCAAATCTCTTTACGTGTTGCAAGGGTGATATAATATATTACCCGTTAACGTTATGAAAACGCTCATACCGAACGTGAGAGAAGAGAAATAGATATAGAGAGCATTTGTCCGCTGCGAATTCGATTAAACATGCATATATATCTACCTACGTACCATATATTCGATTAATATTTCATACAATTTTACGGATAAATATATTCTCCAATCTTCCTCTACATATCAAGAGTTTCACGAATTCTACATATCTATGTATATATTAGGTCGTCCACAAAAAGTTTCTTACTTTTTTTTTTCATAAGTTTTACATACAATTTCTTTTCTTTTTTTTTTTATTTTATTTTAATTTTACCGAGAGACATAAGTAAAATTTTAAACTCAGAAAAAAGAAAAAGAAACAAGAATCTTTTAAGACGATCTTAATATATCCATAATCATAATTTCACATTACCTTTCATATAAATCATTATTTCTATGAGAAAAAATGAAAAAGAAAGATAAATTTTATTCGTACATCTTCGTATCTTTCTTTCTTCCTTGTTCCTTTACTGGAAGGTATTTACGAGGTCCAACATGAACAAGAATAAATAGTAGAAATAAATAATAAATGTCATAATTTGTTAGGTCAAGGGTGCCAAAGGGGATGTTATTCCAGAGTAGCAGACCGTGCTAGCTGGCTTGAGTTCTCTTCTTGTTTTGTGTGTGTGTTTGTTTTTTATTTTTTTTTTTTTTTTGTTACGTGGCTCATCCGCTCGGCACAAGCCCCCGAGGTGAGCCCAAACGCGGCATCTACCCTTGCCAAGCCGTGAAAACCCTCTATACCCCCCGCTGGCGATGCTTTTTACGCTTACGGAGGACTCCTGGAGGCGTGTCGACATGTGCAGCGGAACCGACGAAGGGTGGATTCGCGTGATCGAAGGCCGAGAAGGACGCCCACGGAAATTAGCAAAGCCGCGCAATCGCAGAGACACTCCCTGAATAGCTTCTCCATCCTCACGAGAAAGAGAAAGAAAGAAAGAGAGAAAGAGAGAGAGAGAGATCTATCGAAAATAGAAGCGCAAAAAGCGGACATCTTGATTTTCCCTTTCAACGATCTCGACGATACAAATGCGAAGAGCTTAGGTACAGATCCAAACCGGAGAGACTAAATCGTCCCACAGAGAGAGATTATCTATCTTGTTCTTTTTATTTTCTTAAATCCTTTGAGAATTAATACTATGGACACAAATATGCGTTTGGTTAAAAAAGAAAGTTATCAGACTAGGAACTATGAACGTGTATACATGCATGCGATATAATGCATAGAACATATAATTACATCGACATAAATGTAAAGAATACGTTTTATTATTTGTGTGAACGTTGATTGTTATCACGAGTCTTGTCGTATCAAAATTTTATAAGAAAATAACTTTGTCTTTTGTACTTTTTTTATTTGAAATAATGATATACCTAACTTAAGGTACTCGTATTGTATATAATCGATCAATTATACTAGTATACATCTGTTACTATATAATCTATCTATTATAAAAATAATACTATGATATATAGGTTCTTAATATAAAAATTACTATGCTACTATAATCATTCAATAAAGCTGATATTAACGAAAAAGTATTCCGTACCTACGAATAGCACTTCGGCCAAGAGTATTAAACACTTAATAGGTTTGAGGTTATCAAAGATTTTTTAAGAAAGTAAGTACGAATGAAAAATATTGATAATTTAAAAAATATTTTTATAATGAGAATATTTTTATCCGTCCGTCTGTAATAAATAATTTATTTATTTATCATTATATATATATATGTGTGTAATAATAATTTTGAATAATTATTATTCATATTCTACTAAAAAATATGATAATCCTATAACGAAGAAGCAAACCACATAAGATTACTATAATAAAATGAACGCGATGATTTATAACCACCGAATATGGTTATCGATTAGGTTTCTCCTCGTTGCCACAAACTAAGCATGACTGCATTCGTCGAAAGGTATAGTGTAGGTATACTAAAAGCATAAGCGACTGACTTTTTCGTCGATGCGTTCGTCCCTTTCAGCCGCAACGAAAGTGACATAAAAGCGATAGATTTAACAGGATCAACGATATATATGCAAAATGGTGGACCATCTGTTGCCCACGGATGCGAGGTGGAAAATTCAACGTGCTTTAGGGTGCATTAAGGATGGTATCCGTTCATTGATCACGATCATCACTGAATTTGTCAGCTATTTTTTCTTCTTAACGAGCACGATTATACGGATGAACGTTCAAGAAAAGAGCACAAGTTTTATGGTGCATTGGTTATCAAATCGATTGTGGTATTTTTTTTTTCAAAAATCACATAAACCACTTCGATCGATAATTTTGCGCTGCTTGATATTGAATATTTTGAAACATTATTTATAAAACTTTTTAAAATCACAAAAATAAAAATCCTATTTAATATTTTTAATAATTAAGAACATCTAATTTTCGACTTTATGATACGAATAACTACAATCAATAATTTATTTTCATCTTATAGGGTCTGAGAAATATTTTAAAAACTTTTCATTATCGACAAAGAAATTCGATAAAATATATCTGAGTTAGGAATATTTAATCCGACTTTATGAAGGTACAAGAAATAAAGAAGAAAAAGAAGAGAGAGATAGAGAAAGAGACAAAAAAAATGATATACATTCGAAAAATCCATATTTTAGCGGTGGAGTTAGAATTTTCTTCCGAGCAGAAAGACAAGGACGAAATGAAGGTGAGCCGGTAAAGCGAAAAGAGATCTAGAAACGCCTTGGATATCTGCCGCGTGATCGTGGATATCCAAGATGAGACGGTGTGTGCATTCGTGTAAATGGAAAGAGAAAGAGTAAGAGAATACACTCGCGTCTAGCGTTGAGAGAAAGATAGAGATAGAGAAAAAGAAAAAAAGAAAGAGAGAGAGAGAGAGAGAGAGAGAGAGAGAGAGAGAGAAAGAAGGAAAGAAAAAGAAAAGGGATGAAAAGGAATATATACACGAATGATCACGACTAAGATTATAAAATGGCGACCTCACCAGCAGTAGGAGAAGAGAAGTAGAAGCAGAAGCAGTAGCACGGCCGTTCTTAATTTCGCTCGGTTCTTTTTGTGCTCTCCACAATCCCCTTCGTCGAGTCAGCTCACCACCACAAGCACCCACCGATACCAACCACCCCTTCGCCTTTCTCCGACATTCTCCCCGTTCCTTCCCGAATCACCGACAGTCCCTTATACCAAAGGAGTTCCTAAGGGAAAGCTCGAGAATTCTTTTACGCGACGATTCCGATGAATACATACCAAGGTATCATCATAGGCGTGGCTCACGGGATGAATGGATATTAACGAATGAATACAAGCTATCTGAAATGAAATATTTTCATTTTTTGTTTGGTTATCAGGAAAAGAATGAGACAGTTTAATTAAAGAGAAAAAAGAAAAAAATAGTAGTAGTTACCGAGGAATATTCTTCGAATTAAAATGATAAATCTTCAAAATATTCTCCTTACGCAATAAAGAAAGTCTTAACTGTGATAGAAAATTGTTAAACTGAATTATAAGATAAAAAGGTAAGGATAAAAATTGTGATATTCGATAAAAGAGAGTGAATTTATCGGAAGCTTTTTTTTCTTTTTTTTTTCTTTTTTTTTTTTTGTACACTTAGCACGTATTCAGGAAAGCGAGAATATCGCCAAGCGGTAAAACCTAGTATTCTCGTACTAGAGTAAAAACGTCGATGGATACGAAGAGAAACTTCCTCGGAAGCGTGTGTCCGCGTTTATATCGCCGTCGCCAAAATTTGTAGTCCTTTGTTTTTATCCGCCGTTCTTCGAGGGGTGCCAACGAGGGTAAGAAGAGTCGTCAGGGTGGTTGTAAGCAACCCCCGTCGAATACGGTGTCCAGCTCGTACGCCATATTGGAGGCGGTAAAAGTTTCCTCCAATCGGTACCGGAAGCGGGGTGGCATGGGTAGAAACCACACCCAATCACCCTGACACTTGCCCCACCAGTGACCCGCCACACCCACGCATGTCACGTGCGCACTAGCAACGCTACACTCGACAGAGCAGTCGTGTGCCTGCAACCGTCTTGTCATCCGTGCTTTCCATTCTGTCGCTCCTCTATCTATATCTTTCTCTTTCTATCTCTTTTTATCTTTCTTTACTTTTTCCATCATTACTTCTTTTTTCTTTTACATCCTCTGATCTCTCTCTTTCTCCCTCACACACACTTTATTTCGCACCTTAACAAAGCTTTCTCTTTGGTTATCTTTTTTATTCGTGAGTTAGAGAAAGAGACTATCAGTGACGACGGATCTTGTTTATTAATATTGACAAGTGTAAATACTGTGTGCTAAAGATCAACATATAGGAATATAATAACATTGGACCAAAATCCTGGATGATGTGATAAGATTACTCTCAATCATATATATATATATGTACATATTTCATATCTCGTTTTCTCGCTTCTCGAGATGAGTTACATTCTACGAGAATTACTGTGACGCGTTTCTTCATCGCTATGACTATGATAAGCCTCGAGATGTTGAGTCGTGAGACTCTGCCGCTGGAAGGGATGTACCAGCGAGCTCGCGAGGAGATGCTCACTCCGCCACAAAGTAGCCCGGAGTCTCAACATCGACGCAACACTGGTAACAACGTCGCTGATAATACCATTTGTCACGACATGCACCCTCTCAGTCAACCTGCCGTCGATCTAGGCTTACCCTCGCATATTCCGGAAATTCTTTATTGTAAGTGAACAGCTATTGCTGTGCTGGTTCACTTGTCAAATTTCTACACTGTTCTATATACATACGATTTGATTCATTTTCGAATAGAGAACTATCCTTAATTCTAGTTATCCTGTTTCGTTCCAGCCTCGATACCGAAATGTGGTGGTTGCCAGGAAGCAATCCTGGATAGGTACGTGTTGAAGGTCCTAGAAAGGTGTTGGCACGCGAGATGTCTGACCTGTCGGGACTGCGGAGCAAGGCTAACAGACAAATGCTTCGCGAGAAACGGCCATGTCTTTTGCAAGGACGATTTCTTCAAGTAAGCACCAATGATTGTTACAAATCTTATCCGTTATTCCTGTTTAATTGAATCGTACATAAAGATAAGAAACAAAAAGAGATAACGCGTTTCGATTAAAAGCTAGTAGAGTCATGTCATTTACGTGTGAATGTAATGTGAAAATGTTGTATGTTGTTGGTGTGGCAGGCGTTTTGGGACGAAATGCGCGGGCTGCGGCCAAGGATTGGCACCTTCGCAAGTGGTAAGAAGAGCGCAAGAATTGGTGTATCATCTGACCTGTTTCTCCTGCGCACTCTGTTCGCGACAGTTGGACACCGGGGATGAATTTTACCTCATGGAGGATAAGAAACTCGTCTGCAAACCGGACTACGAACAAGCCAAGGCAAAAGGTAATATAAATTGTAGGAAAAATAAATTGAAACAGCGGGTAGGAAATTGAAAGATACCCCTGGAGCGAACTCAATTGGTTATATTTTTGTTTCGTTCACTCTACGGGTATCCTCGTAAATTAATTAAACGTCGAATTAAATTTCTTCGAATTTTATTCGTTCTATTAATATCAATAATAACGTTAAATGTATCAAAGGATTACGATCAAAAATTATAACAAATTTTAGAACTAGCCGACGGCGGTAGCATCGATGGTGATCAACCAAACAAGAGGCCGCGAACGACGATCACGGCGAAACAATTGGAGACCTTGAAATTGGCGTACAATACCAGTCCGAAGCCAGCGAGACATGTTCGGGAACAACTCTCGCAGGACACGGGTTTGGATATGCGTGTCGTCCAAGTGTGGTTTCAAAACAGGTACTAATACAATTTGTCACTATTTATCTCGTGAGAAACAAAATTCGAAAAAATCATGTATTATTAGAATAATGTAAACCACTTTAAAGATATTTTCGAGATAAATTTACGATTCATAAGATAGAATTCCGTAGCGTATGTTTCGAGACAGAGATCGATCCGACAAAATTTTCTACATAACAATTTGAAAACAAGGAGAGAGAAATAACAAAAAGAATAATTTCGTTTATCGAACGAAAAAGGCGAGCGCGTCTTTGTTGGGAGATAAATTTAAACGAAGCCAAGGCAGATGAGTAATTGTGAGATGCTGGGCACTCATAAGGATTCCGTACCAACCGGCAAGGTTTCCGAAGCCCTTCTCTAGGGCAAGACCAATCGTGAGACCACAGATAGAATTAAATGCTTCGAATTCATTAACTTGTCGAAAGAGAATACCGACGATAAGAATTTCCGTATATAAATCGATCTACCACGCTCGCGATATGATATCCCTATTCTCTTCGAATACTACCTAGAAAAGAATTAACAAAGAAAGTGAAGAAAATTAAATAATCGTTTTAGAATTTCTACAAATCCTAAAACTATCTTCTCATTTTCGCCTGTGTTATTATTATCGTTTAAAGTACGTGTGAGCGATACCGCGGTACAAAGTAACAAAAGTAGGTGAGCTATATCTAAGAATATTATTTTATCTCGCCTTTTTTTTTTTTTTTTTTAATACATCTCTCTATCTTGCCTTACACTCGAAGAAATCTCGAGGAGAATATCGAGAGAAGAAATGTCACTATAACTAAGTAGTTACTTCTGCAGCTTTCTAAGATCGACGTCGTAATCAATAAACCGATAAGGAAAAACGAGATTCGAAGTTGTAAAAATTTTCTACGCGTGCCGATTATCCAATCGTCAAGTTTTAGATAATAGTCGTGAAAGAAAATATAGTTGGTGATTCATTTTCTTAGAGTGGAGCGATCCTTTTTCCCGTTATTATATTTATTTTTCTCTCTCGTCAAATAATTAAATAGAAACAAGATCGGAATAGAATGAATCATTCGTGTTAAGGAGGGCAAAGGAGAAGAGACTGAAGAAGGACGCCGGTAGGACAAGGTGGTCGCAGTATTTTCGAAGTATGAAAGGTACCAGTGCGGGTGGACATTCGCCTAGGCACGACAAATTACTTGACAAGGACGAACTCAAAGTTGATCTGGATTCGACCTTTGGCCATCACGGTATGTACAAATCATCTCGATGTATTTCTCTTCGTTTTTCGTAGATCCAAATAAAAACAAAAAAATGTATCTCTATTTATATATATATATATATAATTCTTATCTTCATTTTCTTCATTTATATTTAAATGTATATTTATATACGCGAAAACACGCGAATTACGTGGGTTCTCTAAAAAAAGAATCGTTTCTTCGTCCCACGCAAAAGACGAGACTCGTTGGATAAAACGATCCTCACGAAACTCCGTTCCCGCAATCGCTTTATCGCTCGCAAGATACCTACAAGGGAGGAGAGGACGATCTTCTTCAAATATTCAGGAGATTGCAAAGGCTAACTGGTAGCTTGCTATACCTGAGATTTTCGGAAGATTGCGGATTATCCTTGAATTTATATCCCCCATTAGCTGTACACCAAAAAGCCTACGCAAGTTTTATGTTAAATATTTAATCAAATCGACTCGAAATCGGTGTAATTGTTTCGAATAAGGACAATTTTCTTTCGAATACGTATATTACTATTATTTTTATTATATATATATATATATATAAAATGCAGAGACGAAATATAGATATATATCTGATATTGAATTTATTTAAACGATGACATTGTTATAAAGATGATCAAAGGGATCAACGATTAAAGGCAGATAAAAGATAATAAAATTAAAACGTGACATCACGAGGCGTCCAAGCACGAGAATATCTGTTTATAATTCAGAAGGCAATCCATTCTGAATTTTAAACGCGTTAGAAAAAATGTCTCTTTCATGTTTGCCACGTCGCGAAAGTGGGAATGATATTGGTGGCACGTGCATTCCTAGTAGGACAAGAATTATCTTCGATCAAGAGACACGGCTTATCTTCCCTAGATCTATCATAAGCCGAACGTCGGGTGCTATTCGAACGAGTTGAATTATTATCGTCAAGGCTCATCATGCTAGACAAGTTTTATCTTTTTCATCGTCACGACTAATGCCTTCTGTTTGATTCGGTCACTCGTTTACGCTCACTTCAGATAGCTAACTGTATCTCTAATTTCCTTACGTAATAATATTAATGTAGATCTATTGTAAAAGTACATAAATAATACATACGTACTTATCCCTAAATTACATAAATCTGGTATTTTAGATTTAAGTAACGACAGTTACGGGACGGTTGTGAATATGGGATTGGACGGAGAAGGTGCGAGTCCAGGTGGTGGTGGAAACAGTGGTAGCGGTGGACCACCTCGTGGTTATTTAGGTGCAACTACACCACCTTATCTATCGACATCCCGATCACCGTCCTTACCACCACAATTTCCATACCCACCAGATGCAGGTCTTTCAGTATACACTACACTCGGTAAGAATAATTAAAATTATATTCTTATTTTTTCATCGTGTGTGAAATCCTTTAAAAAGAAGAAGATTTAATAAAATTATTGAATTGTATACAGGAGGGCCAGGAGGCATGGTACCAGGACCTGCATCGGATCTTAGCAACGAATCGAGCGGGGGTGGTGGTGGTGGTGGTGGCGGTGGCGGTGGTGGTTATCCCGACTTTCCACCCTCGCCGGATTCCTGGCTTGGAGAGCCACCCTCGCACGCTCATCACCAATCACACTACGCCACATAACCCGCCAAAGCCGAACGATATCGAATACCGTCTAAAATAACGCAACGCTATGGAACAACATTTACCTGACGACAGACACAAACTCTCCTCGAGATTAATGACGAATGAGAAGAATCCCGTGTTCTCGAATCCCTTCTATTAGGGAAAGACTCGTCGTCGTCGTCGTCGTCGTCGTCGTTCTAGCCGATTACACATTTATGTCATTACACTTACGACAATTAAATACGCGTTGCGATTTATTCGAATTCATTTATGTCCAAATTTGACATTGCTTCGATATGAAAAGGGTAATTAACGGTTTGGAAATGTGAAACAAGTTCGAAGAAGACGTGCGAGTAACGCAAAAATTATAAAGCGTACCATAAATTTGAACTATGGTCGTAATTAGAAGGAGAGATTATGGTCGGTGATTGATTTGTTGTCATTACAAATTATTTATTTGATACTATTATCACTTGGTTATTAATCGAAACATTTAAAGAGATTTATGATTCTAGTATTCGTCCACATAGTAGAGCATCGCATGAACGATGCAACAAATTAATGAACTTTAACGTTGTTTCGCGCGCAAATAATTGACATTTTTTTGTATGGTGAAAGAAGAGAGCAATGGATTATACCAACTTATCATAATAATAATCGCGATCGACGTTCTCTTATTTCGTGTGTATAATTGACGTTATATAAGTATTATTTATATATAAAATCTAAAAATGTAAGAGCATCAAAGTACTTAAAACGAAAGAAAGAAAGAAAAAAAAAAATAATGAAATGGAATTGAAATGCGAAATCTTAGCGATCGATCGCTTGACTCTCTCACGATCAATCAAACTTAATCTCAAGATGTGTTAAAGTTGGTTTTTCCCATTTAAAAAAAAAAAATAATGCGAAAAAGTGAAGTGTGCACCCAACAGCAATCGAGTAAGATCTAACGACGGGACGATGAAAATCAAAAATGATTCATCGTGAGTATTAAATTCGACTCGTGATAAATGAATTTCGGCGTAATATTTCGAGAGATGTAATCTGTAAATTCCAGCATCGATGAACTGTCGCGTAAGTATCGTATATACACGACGAACATGCACGTATCTATTTATCTATCGTTATCGAGCAGTGTTGCTCTTTCAAGGTATTGATCGTGTATAACTATCGAAATCAGCTTTCATGGAATTTCTTGCATAGCTCGAAGTATCGTAGATTCGAAAGAGAAATCAACACAATTCGCATGATCGTATTGTGACTACTTTCAAAATGAAATAATCCAAATATCTTTTTCGACCTTTTCATTTTCTATTCATTTGGCAACAAATGTAATATGAAAAAGAGTTTTTAACTTCTGATAAACTAATCGGACCATATATTATACAAAATATTATTATGACATTCCACATTTTTATCGAGAGTTAAACGATCGATACTTTTACCTTGTACAAGCTATTTCTTAGTAAATACGTCTTTATTTCCCCGAAATATCTACTTACTTACTTACTTCTTAATTACTTGTTATATTTAATATCGTGTGTTTGCGTATAAGTGTTCAATTTGTTTATTGAATCTTCTGTACGAATTTCTAAGTGACATGAGCTAGTGATCGGTTAGCACATCGATACTTTGATTTTTCTTACAAAATATTGCAAAAGTAAGTGGAAGTCGAAATGTTCGAAACTGCGTTCCAAGAAATACATTGATTGCAAATTCTAGAAGATTAAATTTAAAAAAAAAAAGTAGGTATAGTTATCTGTACGCGAATGTCGTATCAAAACGATCAATAATTTTCTTTACAAAATAAATACTACAAATCGATGTCTGATTAAACAATTGAAGTATTAATCCTTATAAGAATTTGTAATCAATGGTAACAAATGATTTGTAGGTAAAGATATGGGTTTTACAAAAGACGTGCTATTCTGAGAATCGATGAACATAATTATTTCGCCATTCGGATTATCTCTTTTAATCTTTTTAACGTTGCAAAAGTTCAGAACGTTTAATAATTTCATTTACATAAAACAGTACAAAGGATAGATTCTCCAATTAATTATTTAGTAATTATCTTAACTATAAATCCAAGAGTCGATAATGCAGATCCCTTCGTTGGTATTCCGAATAAAATCAAATTAAATTCGTTCGCAAAAGAATTGCGATCGATCATACTGGAACAAACAGGTCAAACAAATGGTGATAATCAAAATTACAATTAGTTTATAGAACAGTGAAGATCGAAAATATGTAAATGATCAAAATAATTACGCTGGTTTCGATCGATTACGAATAATGTCGAAAAATAAAGCTCCGGCGAATGATACCAATATTTTTTCTTTCCTTCTTATTATATTGAAATTTGTATACACGTTCTTCGAGGAAAAGAAAGAAGGAAGGAAAGAAAGAAAGAAAGAAAGAAAGAAAGAAAGAAAGAAAGAAAGAAAGAAAGAATGAAAAGAGAAAGAAACAGATAAATTTAATATGCATATAGATAAAGCGCGATAATGTTGTGAATCAAAAAGAAAAAAAGGGGGATCTTTCTCCGCACCATAATTGGATTTTCTACAAATTAATAGATGAAAATTCTACGTGCGTCTCGTATCAATTAAAAAATGAAGCATTTAATCGCGTATATTACATGCAAGAACTGTAATCGAAACACAATCTTCATAGATTTGTATCTATCGTACTGGATTTGCTCTATGGATTTTTTCTTTCGTTTATTTTATCGGTCTCCGAAAAAAAAAAAACAACAAAAAAGACACATTGCTTTTTATATTAATCGCAATAACTCGTTCGATGTTCTACATACGTGTATGTAGTATTATTATATATTTGGTATATAGATTTTAAAATATATATAACAATCGTGAATCCATCTGTGTTTAACTCGAACAAGATAAGATATCTTATCCCAAAAAATGGACAGATATGTTCATAATACATACGTAGAGTTCATGGAACGATCAATCGATCTTGTAAAATCGAACCGGGATCTTCTTTTTTCTTACGTATAACTACTGTCGTTTATTTGGTTCGTCGTACGTCTTCTTGGTTCGTTAAAAAAAAAAAGGAAAGAAAAGAAAAGAAAGAAAAAAGCAAAAATACACTCATCGTAATTGTCATGAGATTTTGATTACAGTTCTTGATCATATATAGCAGCGTGCTAATGGAAAAGTGTCACTGTAGAATTGTATATACGTATACCCTTCTCTTCCTAATCATTCTGCCTACAAATTCAATTATCATGAGAAACAAAAGAAAATAAAAATAACATGAAAAAATGCGTTAAGAAAGATATTATATTAAACGACTAAGAAAGAGTGAAATGTTGTACAATATGAAAAGAAAAGAAAAAGAAAACTGATTTTGTGCTCCTCATCGAACTTGACGGACAAAAAACATGCGTGTAATTATCGCAGTTCGCAACTTCACCGAAATCGGTTATTACGGATCTTTATATTATTATCTAGTCATCAAGTGATAATAAAAATTTATCATAATCTATGTTAATTCGTATTTTATTCGTATACCAGAACTGTTTCGAGTAACGAGAGAAGCACCGAAGTCGATCTCGACGAAGTATTTGTCCATTAATTACAAATTTAGTATAACATTTTTTCTGTGTAAAGAGAAATTAGAAAATAAAGAATAGGAATATAAATACGTCTAAAAATAACGAAATAAGAAAATATTTCAAACCGCAAATAATAATGGCACTTTATTATTTATGAAGACTATGTACAGATGCCGTATAATGATACAACACATCTTTGAATTTTCGCGCGTGTGATTTCTTGTAATCGATAAAATAATTCATTGAAAAAAGAATAAGTTTCTTGCTAAACTTAATCTGTAAAAAAAAAAAAAAAAGAAAGAAGTCACTAAAGTATAAATCAAAATGGATTTATACAATGTTTTGCGTGCCATCTTTCTACATAAGTATATACAAATATCGTATTATACAGTCGCGTATTTTAAAAAGCACATAAATGGTTTTTTAATTTTCGTTTCTTCTCGAAAACATTTCGTTGTAGTAAGAAAATACTTATCTTTTGTTTTTTGTCCGTGTTTTACAAAAATTACAATGATAGAATATCGCTGTTAGTAATATTCGTAACATTTATGTATGTCACTTCGAAATGTTTCGTTATTAAAAAAATTAACAATATAAGTCTGTAGAATAGTATAGCAGTTAGATTCTAAAATATATAACAATTAAAATTGGGGACAATGTTTTCGTGTTTTGTGTGTATATGGACAATTCAAAGGTTAATGCAAATCGGTTAAGCAAAACCTTGTCCATTTTGTATCTGCTTTCTCTTCTACAGACATATTTAATTCAATTTGGTCTTTGTATATATTTTTGTTCACATCAGTTGTCGAATGGTTCATCATAAGTTCTTGTTTTCTTCAGTATATTTTTTGTAATCATCAATTGTTTGGTGATTGCCTTTTCAACATTCTTCTTGTTCTTGTTCGATGTTGACAAGTGTTGAAAAGTATCTTCAAGAGCTCTTCTCGTTTTCATTAACCTCCGTTTCAGCGTTTCATTTTCTTGTTTGAGTGCTTCTATTTCATCAAGTCCTATAAATTTTACCGATAAATCAATGATCTAAGATATTATAACTTCAAATAAGCTAATATATGTGGTAAGTGGAAGTTGCACAAAACATTTTTTAAATATAAGCAAAAATACTATATTCTGAATCACATTGAATCAATGAATCAAAATATAGAAGATGCTAAAGATATAAAAAGAAAAAATAAGCACTAGAATCGCTAACTTTTATCTAAACTAAATTAAACAGATTAAAAAGCACAATAATTAAATTGTTTATCAGAGATACATACTATATTTATGTCCAGCTAAAATTGCTATAAAAGCAATAAGATATAATTAGTGAAGAAATTGTTCATATACACATTTGCAAACGATATTACTCTGTTTAAGAGTATAGAAAATCTCAAAAATAAAATCAAATGAATTAAAACGTACCTTCAATTGGCAATGGGCTATCACTGTCTACCTCTCGAGCAGCAGCATTCCTATTACTATTGTCTTCATCGCTAAGTAAATTGGTCATTGACTCGGTAATCTTCAAAGTATCTTGTAGTGGTCTTATTGTGTTAACTGTTGCATCACTTTCAATGCCTAAATCAGGTGAACAACTGGATTTACTCCGTCCACCGAGATTTTGATAATTTATTGGTTGCCAATATTGCGAGGCCTGTCAAAATTATAAGATATATTAATCATAATCAAACTTTTATTTCTTCTTCTTAAAAAAGTATTTGTAAACACTTGCATTATAATTTTGGTATTCTTGAATAATTTCGTCGCATGTTTGTTTTAATGTGGAATCAGTTGGTATCGAAGAAATCCCACTCGAGCTTGGTGCTGAATCGCATGCTTCACAAACAGCAAGGTGTCTTCGAAGTTCTTTATTGGTAGCTTCGAGTTCTTCAACTCTTGTTCTATGGGAATCATTTATTTGATTCAAATCTGAGATCTGCATAAAAGAAATTCATACATGTGTTATGTTGTGTATTACCAGTAAAGATAAAAATAGGAAATAAATAGTTCGGTGAGTGTCTTACCTCTTTACTAAATTTATCTTGCAATAAACGAACAGACATATCGTATCTGTTATCAGTTTTTCGTACTTCTTGTTCAAGTCTTAATTTCTCATTAGTTAATTTTGTATTTTCGACGAGAATTTGACTGTGTAAGAGTGTAAGATGATCTAACTCTTTCGTTAAGGCTGATATTTTTACTTTGGCAGTTTCGTTATCTTCTTCCATTGTTCTTATTTTGGACCTCAACTAAAGTATGTAAAAAAAAAAGTGTTACAGTATAGTTAGATCATTTAAGACTAAAATTAATTGAAAAAAAAAAAAAAAATAATATTTACTCGATCGTTTTCTCTCTTAAGAACCATTAACATCTCAGCTGTCTTCTTCTCTGTGTTTTCTTTATACTGCAGAAGTTCAGTTTTTTGTTTAGTCATTTCAGCGACCATACTCTCCACATCTGTTATTTTTTTCTCGAGTTGTGCTTTCCGTATACTGTTCTGTTTACTCTCTTTTCTCAAAGCATGACACTCATGTATTCTTTTGTCTAAAGACGATTGCAATCTCTCGCAAACTTTTTGTGACTTTTCAAGTTTCAAAATGAGCGGTACCAACTTTTCATCGAATATCTAAAAGTAAGACAAAGATACACATAAATTTGACATGAAACTAGATTTTATAATAAAAACAAAAAAAGAGAAAAAAAAGGTACGTACGACATCATAGGAAACTTTTGTAGTAAGATCGTTCTTAAGAGCACTCAATTCGGAATATAAAAGATTATTTGTTTCTTTCAGTTCCTGTATATGACGATTCGCGTCCAGATCATGTAAATCATCTTGATAAGTTTTATGATATGGTATATAATCAATCGAATCCTCCGAGTCGCTAAACGTTTTCGTATGTTTGCTAAATCTCGAGCGATTAATAGATTTGTGTTGAGTTTCTTGTAAACCGATTCTAGCCATAGATACCATTCTATCAGGTTCCGAAAAAGCTTCTGAATCTGATTGCGTAGTCATATGATTTTTTGGTAAATCCAAAATATTTTCGGAATAACATTTTTTCACGGCATTGTCGATTTTCTCGTTATTTTCAATCACATTTTTATTATTACCAACGATCACATTGTGTTTGGTCATCTTTTCGAGAACTTGCGTAAAATCATCGGAAAATATATTCGAACTTAGGAGCACTTCCAATACAATTTGATTATGATCGTGATGAATCGCATCAAGATGATTCGCGTTCTTCAGAATATCTTTCATCAATTTAACGAGATTCTTTAAATGAGCGCGTAACAATTCGCAATATCTTTTCGTTCTTTCACTTTCATTCTCACATTCATCAATTTCTGCTGCTATGTCGGGTCTTGTGACAAGTTTCAACCAATTAAGATAATCCACTTCTTTCTCCAATTCGTTTTTCTTTTCTACCAATGTTTGAATATATTCTGTCATCGTTTTAACATCTATCGACTCGTTTCCATTCACGTAATTTAGTTGAATAACTTCGTTGATAAAAGATACTTTAATACCAATGTCATTTAATTCCTTACTAAGAGTTGCAAAATGTGTACTAGCGCTTTCTTGAGGAATATCAGTTTTGCTTCGGCTTCTATCCAATTGATTGTTTGCCGTCATATGATTGTGCAACTTAGCGATTTCTTTGTTTTTACTCCATAACTCGGTATTCACCAATTTTTGAAGATTATGTGTCTTCACTTGCAACTCCTTGCTTAACTGCTCGATTTTTTGATTTTTCTCAGCGATTTCCGCGTTACGTAGATTTAGTTCTTGAATTAATTTTGTATGTTCCGAAGACTCGAAGGATTCCTTGGCGGGAATTTCCACGGTCGCTTGTTTCAACTTATCAAGTTCGGTGATCTTGTCTTGTAATTCTTCTTTCATCGTATTTTTCTCTATTTCTAAAAATTCTATTCGTTGATCTTTGTCGTTGAGTCGTTCCTGTAACTCCTACAAAATAAAAATATTCGTTCGATTTATAAATTGATTCAGAAAATAAAGAGGAAAAAAAGATCTCAGCGAAACATTGAAGAATAGCTGATTTAAGAAAAAATAAAAAATAAAAGAAAAAAAATTATCATACCTCTGATTCAACCTGTATTTGCTTTTCCAGACGATGTTTCTCCGCCTTGATTGTCTCTATCTGATCTCGCAGGTCGTTTATTTTGGCTTCCATTTCTTCAAACCGTTGCTGCACACAAAAAAGGATTTTCATCGTGAATAAAACTCAAACAGATCGATATAGAAAAGAATTCATTTTTATTGATAAAACACAATAAATTTAATTACAGATATAAATGTTACAAAAAGAAATGCGAACTACAGTTCGTATATGCAATTGAGAATAAGATTGGTCACGATAATTAAAAATTCTCTATTTTTTATTGGACGATTATCATTATATTATAACAAAAATCGGAAGACGTAGACGACTACTGGAATTCGATTTTTCAACGATAATTAATTTTTCATTTTCTTTGGCCAAGAGCGCGGGGGAACAATCGTGATAACGGCTGGGCCCTAAAAGAAAAAGATTCAATTTGTAATTCCTATCGATTGTCCTAGTCGAAATAACTCGATACCTAAATTCTACCTTCGTATTAATTAAAATTAATATTAATTTCAAATATTTTGTATAATTTTTTCCCATGTACACATGTAGAGCAAGTATCCTGTTGTGTGCACTTTAAAACATACTCGCTGAAAAAATAAAATAAAAAAACAGAAATCCTGGGTATACGTAAAAAAAAAAAGAAACAAAATAAAATTAATATTCTCGATATTATTTTTCCCTATCTTGGACGATATCAATCTATTTTTGATATCGTGATACACCTACCTCCATCCGCATTGAGGCACACAAACAGGAGAACATGTTTTACGTGTAGTAAGTTTAACTTTCCAATTCGTCAAAGATAGAATGGACAATCAAGAACATTAAACAAATGAAGATAAATAAATAATAAAATAAAATAAAATAGGAAAAGGAAAAGATCGAATCCCAATTGGTATTCAACGCGAGCGCTAAAATGTAATTAGCACTGTGAATGACCGTAGTAGTGTGTATACTTCGTTATCGTTTTTTTTTATTTTCGAAACGTGATAGTGCCAATAAGAACGATCGTTGCTATTTTTAAACTCGAATAAATAGTGTCACATTAATTAATATGATTTCTTTTTCTTATTCCCGAAATCCGATGAATTTTGTGTAAAAGAAAAAACAAAAGTTTTATATATATTTTTTTTCTTTTTAAAATTTTTTTTTTCGACGACACACGACGTTAATGATGAACCGCGGTAACGAACCGTGCGTAATTTTTACTTGTAATTAATTTAATTCTTATTGGTCGTTCGTTCGTAAAAAGGAAAATCACACGATGGTGATTAACCAGTCGAGATGAATTTTCGTGCGAACACTGCCGAGCGTGGACTGCAAGACGTTGGGATACACGATCACTATTATTAGACGGCATGCGTGCTTTCAATTTGGTATCACCGAGATTCCATGAAGCCCGGACATCACGTGATTCCACGCGATATTTCTTAAGGAAATTTCCTTATTTCGTAAAATTGAATTTTTTTTTTTTTTTTTTTCTATTTCTATTTCTTTATAATTACAACGTAATCGGCCACGTCATTTTATATTATCAACAATATACCGACACATATCCAAGTAAGATTCATGCTGAAGTATAACGTTCGTAAGAGACGTGCATCAGAGAAAAATAGAATGAAGAAAAATATAAAAGAATAAATCAAAAGGCGATGATCATGAGAGATACGTAATATAGCTCGTAAATGCGATTAATTTTGTTGTTGTTGTTGTCTTATTGTGACGCGCACAATTTCGTTTTAAAATTTGTGTTTTTAAAGATATAATGAAAAAAAAAATACACAAGATATTTCGAGTACTATTTTTAATGTGACAAAAATAAATTAACGGCTATTTACAAGAACATCTAAGTGTGCACGAACGGACGGATAAAAATCTACAATGTAATATATTGACATTTCTTGTGTATTCTAATAGATTTAATTGACACCCACAAATGTTATTAGAAATGAAGATTTCATTATTCGTGTGATATTTTTGTTCGCATTCATAAGTACGAACTTTACTTTGAACTTTTAACTATAAAACAGTCAAAATCGCATTTGAACTTAAGATGATTAATATATAAACTTTCGAATTTAACTATTCATTTAAATAAAAAAAAACGCTTGAATATCTATCAAGAATATGATATGTATTAATCAAATTATATTATTATACTTCGAAAAGTGCTAAACATAAATCTTTAAATCAATATAGTCACATATAATAGGCTAGAGAAAATAATTACAAAAATAATAATGAACTGAGTTAAGTATTAAAAAAGATATAAGAATATATCTACTATACATCTTTGTTATTTATATGTGACTACATATTTATATATAGTATATATATATATATATATATATATATGTATATATATGTACTGAAAAGCATTTTTTTTATTTAAAGAAATACGTTATTGCCTGTTTATGCTGCAAGGCAGTCGCGATAATGAATGATGTTCATAGCAGTAATTGTCATGCATTGCTAGTAGTGATGGCATAAAGCAGAGAAGGAGAAGTAGAAGAAGTAAAATTCAGTGATTCTGAAAGAAACAAAAAAGTTTGATGTACTAAGTCATGCATTTGTTCTTATAATTTAAATAGTGATTATATCCTTGCTTCTACCGTGATATCTCTACGTTTCATAAACAATTTCACTTCAATGTGTTGATACCACACGACAAATATCGTATTTTCAAACTGGAAATCATCTATTACTATTCGTAACATTTCAATTAAACTTGATTTGCATGCCAATATTTCTTCTCTAAGGGGTGTTTATTTAAAAACGTAGAGATAATCGAGTAAAGTCCATAAATTGTAATATCGACCTGATTGCTATTATCATCATGTTCCGGATTTTCAGTAATTTCAACACTGTATTCCTTTTTGGCAGATCCATCGCGTCTTCTTGCTTTCACATCCTCGTATCCAGATGACCTATTCAATTCAGCCTCCAATTCCTCTATCTTCCGTTCTTTCTTCGCTATTCTATCTTCCAATTGTTGTTGCCTTTCCATAAATCCTTGGATCATCTTAACAGCCTTTAGATGTTCACCTTCCATCTTTTTGAATTTTTGATCCGTAACTTCAACTTGTTTTTGCACGTTACACAATTTCAAAATCAACTGTTTTTTTTCTTCCTCCCGTCGCTTCAACTCTAGTTCCTTTTCTTGCAATTCCTATCAATAGAGGATTCAATTTGTACAAATAACAAAATGGATACAAACCTAAAAAAGGAAAAAATGGAGAATTGTTGAGAACTTATGGAAAGCTACCTTTGCTAAATCTTTAGTTTCCTTTTCATCCATACTGGTCATCATGATTGTAGGCGACTTTACTTTAATGAGTCTTTCCTTGTTTGCTTCCCGATCAAACGCAGCGCTATCGTTATTCGTTGAACCCTGCAGACAAGTTAGTTTTTGTGCCATCCTTGGCGACACGGATTCTATAAATGGATTTACTGTCGAGGGGCTGCTTACCGGTGATCGTTTTGTATAGCCGTTTTCGAACTGGAAGAGAAATAACCGAATGTAAGAATAAATGTTGTTCTACGTTTTAACTCTAACGCCCTCGAATTTTTGGGAGAAATGTTTCTTCACCTGAGATAAAAGAGTACGATGTTTATTATTTAGATCAGTCAGAGCATCGTCCCTTGCTTTTACTGACGTTCTCAACTGATCAATCTGTCTTTTTCTTCTATCAGAAACTGAACATATTTCTTCATATGCCCTACACTTTTCTTCCAGTAACGTGTTCTTCTCCTTTAACACCCTATCTTTTTCATTTATTTCATTTTTATATTGCTGAACGATAGTATCTTTTTTAAAAACTTGATCCTCCAATTCTCGAACTCGTTCTCTCAATTCATCGATATCTCGTAGCCTTTCGGTAGCCAAATTTTCTCTCATCTGTATTTCAGCCTCTAAACGATCTCTAAATTGATCCCTTTCGCTTTCTAATTCTTGAGCCCATTCACGTTCTTCTTCTAAGCTACCACTTATTTGTCTTACCTGAAGAAGATAATAATTCGTATGATTTTATTAAACTAACTAATTTGACGATCGATCTAACGAATAGTCGGAAAATTTACAAGAACGATTAATGGAAATTCACTAGTTTTATTTTTAAAAACCCTGTTGAACGAATAAATGATACTTCTTATCTTAAAACAAAGAAAATAAAGAAAGGAATGATAAATGTTTATTAAAAAATATTCCTTCCGTAGAGACGCGTTTGCTATCTCTTCAACGAGTAACAGCATACTGATTAATTCTTTCTAACTGTCAGCTTATCGAACTGTGTTATATTTGTGGTAACAAAAGGAAAGTAAGACCGTTACCACTGCCGTTTGTTTACTGCGATTAATTTAGAAAGAAGCCAATCGAAAAATTATAATATTCTTCCCTCGTCGTTTGAATATTATATGTAGAATTTAAACGATTTTAAATAATACTTACCTCAGCCTCGAGCGATGCAACGAGTTCTTCCATTTGGTGAAGCTTTTCTTCATTTTCCAAAGCTTTTTCTGGCGTAACACCAAATGCTTCTTTATAAAAAATTGAGGCGTCAGTTGCTCTTTCTCGATATTCCTCGAGTTCTGAGAGTAGATAAAAAGAAAGAAAAATATAATAATAATAATAATAAAATAACCAAAGGAATGAAGTTAATTCAATCCTCTTTTTATAAGGATAAACATAAATAATAATTTAATAGCATTACCGACCTTTTTCCAATTGTACGATCCTTTCACGCTCCTTTTCAAGAGATTGCTCATATTGTGTCTGATTCCTCGAGGAGACCTCCTTTTGTTCCTCAATCAACTCGAATGCCTTAGCCGCTTGGCTAAGAAGTTCCTGCTTCTCTGCCAACTCCTTCCTAAGCGACTCAACTTCTACCTAAACACCGTGTCACCGTTCGATATTTTCTGTTAGTTACATATACACATGAATAGATAACATTATCGATCTTTTTCAATATCAACGAGACAATAACTACTACTATTACTAACTCTATATATTATTATAAAATGCAAAAAAGCGAACGCGGGTTCAATGTTCGATAAATGACTAACTACTACTTGGCACTCGGATAATGACCTTTAACTCGATGTTCTTTTTAATCGCACCCTCGTCGGCGGAAGTAATCCCCATACGTTCTTCGAGAAAATATATTCGCAATTTAAGATTAAAGTTTTCTTTCTTCAAAGCACCGAGCTGATCTTCGTATTCCTTCATCGTTCTTCCAACCCCTGCGGATGCCATTCCTGGTACACCTTCGACGACACCGCTAACAGGAAAATTTTTCTCAGATGACTTTGAATTTGTACCTGCAACAACGTGAAGAACAAAAATTAACGCATTAAAGTGAAACACTCTGTTGTTTAAACACTCGATGATAAAACTTAAACGCATCGTTTATAATTATACACGTGTATAAATACATGTATAAATTCCAAAATCAATCGAAATAGATCTTTCATTCGATAACAATCATTTCAAAACTTTTTCACACTACAATTTTCCGAACTTACGATCTTATACTAACTCACGATCCTTCGTTATTCCGTCATAAAGACGGAAAACGCCATTGACATTTTATTCCCTTTTTTTTTTTTTTTTTTTTTTTTAATTCTTGGTTATTATATCTCGATGATCGAATATAGTTCTCAATCGCGCATGCGTGCGTGTTTGCGTCCATCCGACCGTCTCGCAAGACGGACAAATAATTTGTCATCGATTAAAAATTCGATCAGCGTTTAAATCGATTATTTATTATTATCGTACCGAATTTAATCTCGATCCTTATGGGTCTATCCTCGTTGTCTTGTGAGATCGACGGAAGATCTAACCTTGACCTACTACATTCCATGCCACAAGAACGGAACACCTAATCGAAGTACTTTTCTTTTTGAGATATTTTTTGTTACATATCTACGTCGCGATATCACTTCGATTATCTTCTTACGCGTGTGTTTGATTTGCCCATATATATATTTTCTTGTTCTTTCTTCCTTTTCGAGAAGAAAAAAAACAAAGGGCGAGGGGAGGGGGGAAAAAAGATAGAGAAGAAGAATAAATTTCCGTACGATCGACAAGACGAATCGGAACTGAAACGATGGACGATCGTCTTTGTTAGCCAAAGGTTGCGCCGTAACACAACCAACCTGCGGTTAAAATTATATTTTCAATCTATATATTCGCATCGGTGTTAGACGTTTAAGCTTTTGAAGGTTACGTGTTCGAAGAAGCACGTACGAATTTCTAGCTCTAAAAGCTTCTAACTTATCTAATAGTCTAATGAATTCGCATGAAAGGATAATATCTATATGCTGTTACACGCATTTATATACATAGATATTATCTTCAAGAAATTCTCAAGAAAATTAAATAAATTTCCGTGAATTTACTTTCGAGAAAGAAGGAGGGGACGACGCCATATTTGTGGTAAAATTTGTCCTCGAGGACACATAAAATCCTTGATTTTAAGTTCAATTCTGACAACATTTTCGCGACATTTAAAAAGATATCATCTCTTCGGTGGTGGCCGTTGTCACTCTTTGCCTTGAACGTTAATAGAGAAAGAGAAAGAGAGATACAAAGATGAGAGGGGGAAGGGGAATAAATCCCTATGTTTCTTCGAGAGGTGTTATCGAGGGAGTCTAATAATAAAAGCGGCGACGAAACGGTCAACGACAGTGACGGCTTACAAGCTTCTTTCGCAGACGTTGGAAAAAAAAAAACGAAATGATGAAAGAAAACGAAGAAGAGAAAATTAAAAGAGTGAAGAATATGAAGCAGAAGAAGATGAAGAAACTCGAGGGACAAGGTGTCTAGGGTGCAGGGAAACGACGTATGACTCACGAATATATGCGCGCACGCGCGCGCGAATTATACTTCAGATAATTTCTCTGCAAGTGTATCGATGCGTACCAAGCACTCTTTAACTCTCTCACTCTCTCACTCTCTCTCACTCTCTCTCTCTCTCTCTTCTCTCTCTTTCTCTTTCACTCTCTTGTACCAACCGGGCTCTCGTATTTATAGATGACACATTTAGGCCGGAACGGTTTGAACAATCTATTTTGGCGGGCAATTCTCCAATCTGGCCTGACCTACCCGCAATAAAACCGTGGAAATCATCTTAGCATGCAGCCATGCTAGACTTTCCGATCGCGTTCCACCCCTTTTTTACTAGAACTTCATCTCTTTTCCCAAGAAAAGCTTACGGCTACGCAGCAGCATAAGCAGCACCAGCAAACGTTCGCTGTTGATTTTCTTAGACTACCGGCTGGACAGTAGTCCGCGGTGGTTAAAAATAATAACTTTACGACTTATTCCGAGGCGATCAGAATTTTAGCACGCATTTTACTACGACGTATATTGAGAGTAGGATTGTTTAGTATCGTTTCAACAACTCGATTCTCTCTTTCTCCCTTTCTCGAAATAATCTATGGGATATATAGCATAGATTCTTGAATTTGTTGAATTTTCAAATATTCTTTTCGCTTTTTTTTCTCTGATATATATATATATATATATATATATCTAATGCGATCACTAAAATTCAATGATGTCTCGTAGATAACATTTATTTCTAATATCCTGCTGTTACAACAGCAAACAATTTATCGTTCCGTTCTCTCAATGTATTCTCTCTCTTTCGAGTAGAAGAAGAAGAAGAAATGTTTTCGTAAATCCTCGTCAAATTTTACGTCGCAATGCAAATATGTATAATGTATATAATAACGTGGAATAACGCAGGCGACTATCATCACGGCAAAGCATAGTGTATGTTGTTACAGAAATAAATACGCGAGGCGTCGCGACGTCCTCCCACTTCTTCTTACTTACCGCTTAAAACGTTTGTGAACCGCCAAAATAAATGGATCACTGCTTCCTGTAATCCGAGATCGCGATGAACGAATTTCGACAAGGCGAATGATCGTCATTTTGCAATGTATGTAGTAATACTTACCACATATTCAATTTTTCTTTCTTTTTCATTTTTTTTTTTAACTGACTTGGCAAATTTGATTCAATCCTACCGCCAAATGGAAATTGAGTTCGCCGTTTGCTGCCATAGACGCTTGCTTGGCGCCGTGGGACAGGTGTCCTAAATTCCTGATAGCGTTCTCGCGATCGAAATTAATCAGACCTCTCCGTCGTATTTCCGATTGGTTGAAACATTGCGCTCTCATTTAAACAAAACGATTGCGAACGCGCAACCCCTATGTAAATATATATATGCTTGCGTATAAATCGTTTACGTGTTCCGTAAATTCGAACGTTTAAATAGGAAAAAATGAAAGTCAAATAATTTCAAATCAAAGATAGATCGATTCGAATCTACCCACCTCTATTCATCCTCCTCCTCTCTTCTCTCCCCTCTCCGCCCACCCTCTAAGTATAAATATTTATAAGACAAGAAAACGTAAAGATATAAAAGAGAGACTTGAGAGAGTAGAAAGGCTATACGATTGTTAAAGTAGACAGTTAGACCGCGTAAATATTATCGGCACCGAGCCTTCTCAAAAGAAGAAACGGCACACATTTGGCACAGATTCGTCTAGTAAGGGGCAAATTTACGCCATACCGTAGATACACCAGATTCAGCCGGTGTGCAAGCAAAAGCCACTAGGCAAGCAAGTTCGTTGTCCTCTCTTTCATCTTGATGAGTACAATTAGGTGAGTATTCTCACCGTCCTCCGTCGACCGCATTGGCTAAGACGACTAGACGCGATGTTATGTTCATCGTCGACGTCGACGACGTCTTCGTTGACGTCGTCTTCATCATCGTAGATATTAACAAAAAAGTAATTCAACCGTAAAAGAAGAAGTAGAAGAAGAAGTCTTCCTAATATAACTCGACTAACAACTCTTTCATTGATTTCCTATATCACGTATAATAATTATTATTAGATAAAATATAAATATCTATAAAGACATAATTATGTCATCACGTGTGATTATCATCAACGAGTCGTGAAAAATAAGTAGCTTATAGACTGGTAAATCGTTACACACCTCAATGAAGGGTCAATTACGTCGGAAATGAGCAATAAGATGGGTGTGTTAAGGGGAAAGGGAAAGATAATTGATCATCCTATTGTCATCTGCAATATATCACTGGTACATTATTAAAAGAATTCGATCTGTATCATTGAAGATATACATAACGATAAGTAACATAATTATCTCGATAAACCATAACGATTATTAAAGTAATACGTTATCAAGATCGTTTTGTAAAATCGTTTGTTTATTCGTTTATAGACCGTAAAATCATATCCGGTTTATATGTGAGACCATGAGAAACGAGATTGGTCAAGGAATCTTATCTATAATCGTTTATCATTAACGTGATATCGCAATACTTACCATTTGCCAATGGTAAAGTTGTGCCCATCGTGATGTCCTGCAGGGGCATGTTGGTACTGAAACAAACAAAAAATACAATAAATAAATAAATAAGAGTTAAAGGAGCGTTCAACGCGTATACCCTACCCTCCTCGTGAAAGTTAATTTCATTTGTTTTAATCGTACCTGGCGCTCAGTTCTGATCAGGTATCTACGCGTACCTCTGATCGAATAGAATTAAAAAACAAAATGACATTCTTTAAATAAGTGTCATCTGAATCAGACACGGTCACGTAATAAAACATGAACGCAAGAGGACATTGCTGGTTGACTTTTCATGTTTTTCCCTTCTGAAAATAAAGAGCCAGGGATCTATAGCGCCGAATCAAAGCCTGTCTATTTTCGGAATAGAACCGAAAACGGATTGTCGGCATGTGCCGTTGACGGGGAAATAGACGACACGTACGTACGCGTGTATAGAATCGGACAGAACTTTCAAAAGGACCAAATTGAAGAAAGTATCTCGTATTCTTTCTATCTTCTATTTCGAAGGTCCTATTTCAAACTAACAAGGGATAACGCAGCTGAGTCGAGTACAAGATTATCTTCTATTTTTTTTTCACCATTCGAACAAAATTCTACTCGATCGGTTATCTAATCCTAGTTAACACAATGATCGCCAAGTAGGGATGTTGATAGTTGGCGATTAAATTTCTAATTTCAAAATATATATATGTATGAAATTAATGTCGTGAGAACACGACGAGTCAGAAGTAGTCTGTAGGGTCCTCAAGCAATCGCCAACTGCATTAAGAGCAATAAGGAAACGCTGGACTTCCAGAAAGCTTTAATTTAGATTTCATCCAAAACCTATTTCGGTGGTGTTGTAGATACACACACACGTACTGTTCGTGCTAAAATCCAAAAGTAAGTAATTAACGTGCGACCTAACGCATCATCACCTAACCTCAGATCGCTGTCGACCAGCTAGTTAGTTGATTTTCTTGGGAATGCAACGTCATCTCAAAAATCTTTGGCACAACATTGAAAAACTTTACCGAATACGATTCAAAAAAAGTGCAAACGTGCTTCGATAATAATTAGTTACATTTACATCACAGGAGACGAATAAATGTATTCAAAGTTTAATCTCAAATTTCAAAAGTCGAAAAGATATAAATAATTCCTTATCCAAACTCGAGACATTCGATTTCTTTTAGTACGGATGGATAATGATTTTCTGACTCTATGCCAGTGAGATACGAACGGCTTGTCAGAGCTCAAGGAAAAATATCGGAATATGCGAATTTCATTTGGTAAAATGCCAAGTTAAGAATAATGAAGAAGTACGATAAGGTTTAATCTTGTTCTCTAAGCTGGTCAAAAATAGAGGATAATCAGCTAATCAAAAAAAAAACACCGTAACACTTTCTAACTAATAATAAATTTTTACTTGCATTCAATAATATTTTAAACTAAAATAATACAAAAAAAATACGTCATAGAAAAAGAAATACAAGTATCCTCTATATTTCTTATATTTCATCCTGAAAATTCAAAACAAAGTTATTTATGTATTTCTAAGTAAATAAGAAACAAAAAAGCTTCTTAGTGAGTACGTGTCATTCATCACGTTGGGTAAGAATAATTTTCCCATAGATTTCCATTCTATGCACTTGGACTATGGACGACCCCACGTTATGGCATTCATCGTAAACACAAATAAAACTTGAATTCTAATAGTTACAAGACCAAAGAAATAATTAGAAAGTGTAATATAAAATATGCATCACATAAATATAAAAAACATGATTATTATTACTAATTAAAAATTTGTTCTTTATATACTTTAGCAAATATCCAATAAATTTCTTAAATACATAAATAGTTATTCCATATGGTAATAAATAGCCAATAGTTCGTTCACACGACATTCAAATTGTTTTCAACACGTATTTTCTTGAAATATAAAGATGTGTCGCACTCCTTTGAAAGTAACAACGAACGGGGATTTTAAAAATAGCTCGCCCTGTGCACATTTAATGTTAGTGTCTGCCCTTTCGAACCCTAACTTTCCTGTACCTTCCTCTACCGTCGTTTCCTGTGTTTTTATCATTCTCTCTCTCTCTCTCTCTCTCTCTCTCTCTCTCTCTCTTTCTTTCTCCTCACAACAGAGATATGCATTTAAAGATGCGTAAAAAATGTATCCTGTTTTTTGATAAACAACATCCAAATGTTTCTCTTAAATTTCTCAATGAAGTTAAATATTTGTCATTTTTTATTTTATCTTTTTATTTATTTATCAGTCATACATTTTAAAAAAATAACAAGAAAAAAAATTAAATTCAAGCTACACGTGAAACGCAACGGAGGTCCATCATCTGACAAAATGGAGGATAGTAAAAGCAAGAAATCAATACGGTGAGAGAATAGGACCACGCGGCCATGGAGCACGATGCTGTTAGCACATAACACACTGACCATTAATAAATATAACTTTTGTAATATGTAATTTCTATTGATATTCAAGGCGTCATCGTTAATAGGATCTTTAGAGATTATCTTACTGTCAACATAGACAGATTTATCGTTAAAGTGAATAAACAAGTTGAACAAAAAATATATATCTATATGTATATTTACAAATTCGATAAGTCCAAAATTTAAGGATAATTGTATCTCTATTGTGAGAGAGAATATTTATTTTTATTTTTATTTTTTATTTATAGCATCGATATCACCAATAAATGAGTCGTCTACACGAAATATTGAAAACGAGTAAACAACGGAAACTCAAAAACAAAGAATCAAAGTGAAAAAGAAAAACATCTTGAGAAAAAATGAATCATGGAAAAAATAAATCATGAAAAATTTAACAATATTATTACATTTGTTTAACTCCTATTGTCCGCCTATTGACGACTACTAGATATATAATTTATATAATTATACATATTCTAATAAAGTAAGTTTCGCACTTCGTTGGACGAGTACATTATGATAAAGAGATGCAGGTCAACGGTGCGTATGCAAAGTCTTTTTAATTACCAGTTCGTTAAACGAATTATCATTCGAGTTAAACAATTAACTTCGTTTTCTCGATTCATTCTTCGTTCTATACCAACTCGAAAGTCTCTGAATTCGTATCTTTCCTTGCGTGGGTGGTGTTTAAACGAACGTGCTGATAATTCTCGTGACAATAACTGTAATAGTACTTTAATACTTCGTTTAAAGGAATGATATACGTATTTAAGTGATCACCGGATTTACTATATTATCAATAAAAAAATCTAAGGAAAAAATAAAAAACGAACAAACTGAAATTGATAACCAAAAAAAAAAGCATACAAACGATAAAGGACTTTTTTTAGATGTTTCACTAAAGTCATTAAATTTGGAACAAACAATTCAATCTGTTCCGAAACAGATACTAATTAAGAACATATGTTTTAAATTAATTAAATATATAATCCCCTTTAATGAATACCTACACTGCAACATTTGTATTATTCGTCTCTAAAAATGATAAACATACATGTAGCATATTATTTTTGAATATGTTACCAACTTACTTTCGAAATGGACTATAAGCGCTACCCCAAATGCTGCCCCTGGCTGAAGAAGGTTGATTGTTCTGGCTTTTATTACCATAGACGTAACCACCGAGAAACATTTTACGTTGATGTGTTTTTGATAACATTGTTAACAATATATAATAATAACAACAATAAGAAAAATCACACAGTTTCCGCGCGCTTCTCGTATACACGTATAAAAAGTATAACGTTCAAACTATCTATCTGTTATTTGTAATAAATATATGTATTTATATAAGTCTATACATTTATATATGAACACACGTATTCTTGATAACACATTCACAAACGCACACGCACAACAAAAATATATATATATATACGTCGATAAATTGTTTATCCTTAATATTGAACGTCTTGTACTTTAACAATCTAATTTAATAATTTGAAAAAATTTTCTAAGTGATAAAATAAGTCAATCAGTCTCGTTTAAAATCACAATTTCGCACGGATACGCGTACGTAAAAATAATGATATGAACTTTTCGTCGTGAAAATGTCTTTTTTTTACTTATTTCTTCTTTATTCTTTCTTCTTTATTATCCCTACTTTTTCAACGCCCTACTATGAGACATCGCAATCATTTGTCGTTCTATTTTGTCGTCTTTTGTCATTTGTCGTCTTTTTTTATTGATTACGTATATCAAATGAAAAAAAGAAGGAACAAAGAGAAACCATTTATAAAGAAGACAAAAATTCAGTGTCTCCCTAGTTTCGTTAATCTAAAGTTGATCAATTAAAACATGGACGATTTCATTCAACTTGTTACTACGCTGGACCCGATCAATCGAGATAACTTTCACGTTTCAAGATAATTCTTCAGATGATTCACAAATTATTTCACACGTATGTTTATATATCACAATCACACACGAAACATGCGCACTTTAAACATCCCTCTCCATCGTTTCATTGAACTTGCGCGTTTTATCTATTAAGTTCGTAAGTTTAACAGCAATACAAAACGAAAAAAAAAATATATATATATATAAAAAGGGGCGGAGAGAGAAAGGGGTAGTAAAAAATAAATCCACGATAAAACGAAAATTTGTCCGCGTTAGAGTCGCGCGCGGTCTCGTCTTCGGTGTATTCGTTTATAACGGCAATGGGAAAGGGGGGCAATGGTTGAAAGGAAAAAAAGAGATGGTAATTAAGAGAAACGTCCAAAGGTTAAGAAAAAAAAATGTCAACAACGAACGAAAGACGAAAAAAAAAGCACGAAAATAGGTTCAAAATTTTGACGATTCGCGTCAAAAAGATATTATTGCGTCAAACACTCGTCACAAATGATTTGTTTTTCCTTATGATCCTCCTAAAGAAGAATGATCTCTTCCTCACTGATAAAGTTTTATGTGCCATTCTCGTACGACGAATTATAATGTTCATCGCGATGTTAACGATAACACCGATTTTATGTCCATATTTTTCAATCATCAATTATTATAGTTCACAAATTAGATCATCGAAACGTTGTATTTTGTTGTTGTTTTTTTTTGTTTACTTTCTTTCTATGTTATTTTCTTCTTATTTTCTCTTTAATCTTTCTCTTTCTCTTTCTCTTTCTCTCTCACTTTCTCTCTCTCTCTCTCTCTCTCTACCCGAAAATACACTACAGATAAAGATAAAGCATGAAAAAACACGTTGATATTTAGACTTGCTCGAACGACGTACGAAATGCGACTGGGTGCAGTAGCGGCGTGGTTGATACTGAGTAGTTTAGGAAGGGTAGGGAGAGTGGGGGCAAAAGCTGGAGAACACGTATAGTAGTGAAAATGTTATGGGAGAAAGAGAAAGAGAAAGAGAAAGAGAAAGAGAAAGAGAAAGAAAGAGAAAGAGAGAGAGAGAGAGAGAGAGAGAGAGAGAGAGAGAGAGAGAGAGA